TAAGTTAATAATTAGTTTCGACTAAATACAAAATTAAATAAATCATTTTTATCAAATCACTAAAACAAAATTATTCGCTAATAAATCTAATTCGTTAGTATTAGCCTATTCATTCTGATCCACATAAAATAATAAAAATTTGTTATCATCAATTAAAATACGCTCTCCCAAAATTAATTGGTGACACATGCATTATCTATAGGACTATTTATCTCATCACAATCTCTACAAAGAGTACGTACTGGAGATTTACAATGAATATAGCATCCTTTAGGATGATAACATCCTCGACCACAGATTTTTCCAGTTCTGTGAATATATTGGCAATGATATAATGCCATTGGGTTTTATTGTTTTTGTATATAATAATTACTTCAATCAAATTTATATTATTTGGGTGAACTTGGTCGCTGAAATTTTTGGAATAATTAATTTATTTTAAAGATTTATCTATTAATTATTATAGTTTCAAAATAATAATACATATATTACTACATGTACTTTTTGTCAGATCAAACAACGCATATATACAAATCAATAAAATGAGTTTGTCTAGTGAAGCAAAAAAACGTTTATGTGAATCATTACATCAACAGCATCTAAATCAAAAGTTGGCTGAATATAATGAAGCAAAAAAGCTTTTCATAGGTTTAACAGATCTTAACTATAAACCTGGCCATAGAAATTATACATATTATAAATATTTGCTTTCATCCGATTAAAGACTAGTGCCATAAGTTATGATGATGGTAGTAATTGTATTTACGGCATATAAAAAGTGGTTGCAATTACCTTTGCGACCACTTTTGCAACCATACTTTTTCCTTTTTTGGATTACGGCACTAGTCTTTACATCCGATAATAAAAATGATACCGCACTTTTAGAAGCATACCATCCTGAAGAGATTTATTTTCAATATATTATCCAGATAGGAGAAAAAGGCTTTACATTAGTTGAACATCCTTCTGAAGTTTATAAAATACTTGATTCCCATGAGTGTATTGACGGAAATCAACCTCTTTGCCCAATACTTGATATTGATGCCAGACAGAAACCTGATCCCACCAATTCTGAACTACCTTCCTTAGATAGTGAAAAAATTTCTTGTGAAGATTTAATGTCTAAAATATTGATTGCTTATATAGATGCATTAAGTCTTATACCAGAATATATGCCTTTCTTGCAATCTTTTGCATTAGCAAGTTCATCAAATGCTAATAAATGCAGTTGGCACATTGTTTATTCTCATGCCTGATTTATTGACTATAGAGAACTTAAAGGCTTTACGAAAAAAGTTATGGAATTAGTAGGAGAGCCATATTCTAAATTCATTGATGTTGGCCTTCCCAAATCACGTTTTAATCTTTGATTACTTGGATCAGCAAAAGAGAATAGAGTTAAAAGACCAGCCATTTCATCAGTTAAGAATGGATTCAAAAATCTAGAAGACTATTTAGTTCAACCAAAATCTGATTATTCTGTGATCTGGCCATGGACTTTTTCAGAAGAAAAACCAACAGAAGATGAATTCAAACCTATTGATGATTAAGATGCTATGGTTAAAGGAGCTAATCTAGTTATTGCGAAATTTGGATGGCTCGAAATTGGAAGAACTGAGAAAGGGTTTGTCAACTTTCATGCACAATCAGTTAAAGAATGCCCTATATGTGATATTAAACATGAAAAGAATCGGTTATATGGATTTCTTTGAAAAAATGGACATTTTGTACTTAAGTGTTACTGTCAAAAACAATACAAGCCAGATCACAAAGGGCTTAGTTTCGATAAGGTATCAGATAAATTTGAATCAAAAGTAAAGCCTAAGTGGGGATTAATTGAAAGATTACCAAATGCTGTAAAAGATCCATGCCCACTTGTAGAATTATCTGGAAAAAATATCAATGCCAGGGAAATGGAAAATGCTCCAGAAGCTTATCCTGATTTCTTGAGTGAGGAACCCACTACATCTCTTATCCGATCACCTGTAATGACAGGAAAAACAAAAGCTTTAAGAATTATTCTCAATTCCTTAGCCAAAGAAGGGAGCAGACTACTGTGTTTTGTTTGGGTTTCATATTGTAAGACTCTCAGTAATGAGACTAAAGCTAAAGTTGATATACTACAAAATGCAGGATTGCATTATTATTATAATGAATTGCATATATGTTGCTAGATATGAATTCATCATACATTGTTGTATTTAAGATACTCAATACCTTCACATAGCGTAATAAATTTATGCATTTTGACAGGGGCCCGAATAATTTTAGTAGTGGTACATTTGATGTTTAATTGTAAATCACCTCTACTACTACTATATAATACTCACTTTTTTAATGTGCAATCGAAATTATCCAAAATTCAAATATACCATATGTGAAAACAGCAATTTTTCCTTTTAACAAAACCAACAAAATATAACATACAATTTTGATATTGGACTGCTATGCAAGCTAATTTTAGAAATAAACTTGTATCTATATGATCTTTGGAATATATAATTATATAAATATAGCGCCTTAAAAACTTAGATCTTGACATTCAATACAAATTTTAGAAGCAAATTTTTACATTTTGTACTTCAAATTGACAGACCTTGAATTCGCCAATTTGGTTGATTAGCAAGTCCTTGTTCAAAATTGAATATTTTATTTTTAACTCTATAGGAAAAACCAAAGGAAATGGTTGACGAGCCAATTCATGATGTGAAGATGCATGCACCATTATGAGTTGCAGTAAATTGGGTACATTAAATATATGCTTTATACTAGTCACCACAAAGGCCAATGCAAATTTTATTGATGACAAATGATTTAGTAATTTCTTGGTGTTTTTCTTTTACACCCAACCCATCATCACCTTATACATGCCGATTTATATAATCTTCATCAAAAGGGTGCTTTGATTTTATTTTATTACCACAAATACATGTAGCATAACATAAATACCATCCTCAGAATCTTTTTGAACAAATTCATGGTTTAAAAGACGCTGTCTAGTATATTTAAAATAATTGCACCACTTAAAAAGTTACTCAAATTCACAACCTCCTAAAATATATATA